TGTATATTGAATTTGACGATGTCGAGGGGGGGAAAGTAAAAACTAATCGGTCGAGCATAGTGTGACTGTGAGCAACATGTATTCGAGGATGATTAATTAAGTGGAGATGATTTCCGATGTGGCGGATGTTTGGCTAAACGAGTGCATGTGTATATAAAATTGTTTTCTACGGATATTTGAGAAGCTTTAGGAAGTGTTTTTGAGAGACAGGAAAATAGCCTAATCCCTTCCCGGGTGAGTATTCTTAATTTGAATTATTTATTACAGGATTTCAATTATTTTATTTATCTAGGCTTTTCATTTCAAACATTTCTTTATACTGACATTATAATGTGTTTTTATAAAAAAAAAGTACAGTTTCAAATATGTCCTGTGTGTGTGTTTATTACGATTCTTTAATTGTTTCATTTAATGTGAAATATAAATTTTTGTTTTAAATGAAATTTCATATCCTCACCTGGAAGGTTTCCCTTGATTAATTTCCACAATTAGAAAAATTCCCTAATCTTCATCGAACCTAGAAAAACGAATAAGAGAAATCTGAAATTGAAAAAAAAAAAGTAAGGGTGCTGGGGCCAATTAAATGAAGGAGGAATAAAAATTTAGAGTGCGAGGAAGTAAAGCAAATGGAAACGATGACACTTGTTCGGTTCCATTTGTCCGTCATATTGGAAACGATTTCCGATCGGGAAAATATAAAAATGATGAAATCTGAACAATTGATCGAGAAAGATCGCTTGTATTTTTCGTTTCATCGCCGAGCAATTGAACTAGTCGAACGGGTATGATAAAAAAAAAAAAAAAAAGAATTCCATAGCAAGGCAAGAAGACTATTGAGAAAAAAAATATGACATATCGACAGAAGTTGTAATGAAATGTAATTCAGAGCCGGGTCAACGAAACGATTGATTAGCTACTCGAAGCAGTGATTGAATGAAATGAATTGTGCTACGATAAGTACGGTGGGTGATTTTAGTGAGAGAAATTGCTGCAGGCAACCGAAATCTGGAAGTGCGAAAATATTTTCTCACTTGGAACACTATTTTAATTGTTAAGGACCCTGCCATAATTACGAACGAGGAGGGGTAACTGGAGGAAGCTAGTCGATTTACACTATACATATTATAAATACGAAAATATAAATATTATAAATATTATACATATTATGTGCCTGTACAGATATGTATATTGAATTTGACGATGTCGAGGGGGGGAAAGTAAAAACTAATCGGTCGAGCATAGTGTGACTGTGAGCAACATGTATTCGAGGATGATTAATTAAGTGGAGATGATTTCCGATGTGGCGGATGTTTGGCTAAACGAGTGCATGTGTATATAAAATTGTTTTCTACGGATATTTGAGAAGCTTTAGGAAGTGTTTTTGAGAGACAGGAAAATAGCCTAATCCCTTCCCGGGTGAGTATTCTTAATTTGAATTATTTATTACAGGATTTCAATTATTTTATTTATCTAGGCTTTTCATTTCAAACATTTCTTTATACTGACATTATAATGTGTTTTTATAAAAAAAAAGTACAGTTTCAAATATGTCCTGTGTGTGTGTTTATTACGATTCTTTAATTGTTTCATTTAATGTGAAATAT